CCCCATGCTCCTGTAGGAACCCTTTCCCCATGCTCCTGTAGGAACCCTTCTCCCATGCTCCTGTAGGAACTCTTCTCCCATGCTCCTGTAGGAACTCCTCACTCATGCTCCTGTAGGAACCCCTCTCCCATGCTCCTGTAGGAACCCTTTCCCCATGCTCCTGTAGGAACCTCTCACCTGCTTCCCTGTAGGAACCTACCTTTTTCCCTGGAGGAACCCCTCTCTGTGCTCCTGGAAGCAACTCCTGTTAACTCACTTGTCTACCGAGCTGGACTTGGGTGGCACTGCTTTCTTGCTCTGTTGATGCTGTCCGTGTATGGGGGGCTTACACCTCCTCTGGAAAAGTGATCCTAACCCTGGGGTACCAGAAGAGAGAAGAAGAAAGATCACATCCTGTTTTATAGCAACCAGCCATCTCAGTGCAAAGTAACCAAATTATATGCCCAGCCCCTACCTCACTGAGCTCCAGGATCTTAAATCCAACTCTGAGCTCTCTGGGTGTCTGCTGGTCAGCTGAAACACAGCATTCTGGGAATATACACCTCTCACTCCCAGTGTGCTTCCTGCTTGTCCTCAGAGCTGCACCTTTCTTGGCCTCCTCATTTCAGTCAATGGCACCGTTGTTCACCAAGCTGTTCAGACCACGTTATGGAGCTGTCCTCCGTTTCTTCCATGCTTGTTTATGGGCAAAGCTTTGAGGTTCTATTTCCTGATGATTATATTTCATTGATCCTAAGACAGATTTTCCCTATATAATAGTAGTTTAATTAGTTAATTTCCCTAGTGAAAGTGGGCTGCACTGGGTCTCCTTCACCAGCGTCGTAATCCAGGCTAGCTAGCATCTTTCCCTCTCACCACGGCAGTAACTGGATGACCGATTCCCCAGGCCTGTGCATGCTCCATAAGCCCTGCCTATTCCGCAGGGCCAGAGATCTCTTTCTCCACAGTGAGCTGTGAGGCTTCACCAGCTTCCCACGGTACTCATAACATCTTACTCTTTCCCATGGAATATGCATCCCTAAATGATCTTGGCTCCTCCCCGATCTTCTTCCAGACTCCTCCGTTATCTGCTGTGCTCCAGTCAAGTTCTGGAGACTTCTTAACCATATCCAGAACATATCAAGCATATTCCTACCACCGGGCCTTTGGAAATCCCTCCTTCTGGGTCATCTCTTCCCTTTGTTCAGACTTCTGTTCAAATATGACCCCTAGAGAGTTTACCAACTATGTTTGTTTATTTTTTGTTTTCTTTCTCTCTTTCCCTTTTCCTCCTCACCTTCCTCATCTTCTTTTGCTATTTTGTAACAGACTGTTACCATGTAGCCATGTTGGACCTGGAACTCACTATGTGGTTCGAAGCCTGGCTTTGAACTTGTGATCCTCCAGCCTTCACACCTACAGTGTTAATCTTGTTTATGTGTGTCATTCTCAACCCATTTACTTGCTTTATCTGAAATGATGTGGTTTACTTGTGTGATTGCTGTTTTTCATTCTGTCCCTACTACCACCACGATCACTACAGTGTCAATTCATTGAGAGGAGGGCCCTTGCCTCGGTCACACAGCTTCTGACAGATAGCATGTGCTCAACATATGCTTGTTGAGTCTGAATGAATGAATTGAATTGGAAATTTTGAGGTTTTTTGGAGACTCAGTTGTGTCATGTGATTTTTTTTTTCTTAAAACTGTCTTATGAGAGGATATTTTGCTGAAGCAGACACGTGAGAGGATGTTTTGCTGAGAACAGATATATGGTGTCTTTCTGGAAGCCGCCTGGAAAAAGGGCATGTGACATTTTGCTTTAGTGGGAGGACACGTGATGTTTGGAAAGGGTATAAGTATAACCCAACAGGCAGTGGGTTGTGCTGTGTGGCATTGGTTTGCCTTGCTTTCTTTGTTAATCATTGTTTGTCATGACTTTGTAGAGAAAAATGCACCGAAGAACTTGTGATATTCCAGCAGCCTCTTACCGCTTCCTCAAACTTGGGCCAGTTGGCAGAGCCTTACCGTTTCTACTGGACCAAACTGCCATTGCTGGTGTTTGGGAGAGGATCTAGCTGCCGCTGCTGATTCATGTGAACTGAACTGCCATATCCTATCAACAAAGATTGGAATCACCCCAAAGAACAATTTTTAAACAGGTCCACATCCCGCTTTGCCCTACTAACCTGCCCTTTCACACCTCTGCTGGGTGAAAGGAGGTTGAAGCATTTAAGAACCTTGATTAAAGTAGGTTTTGAAAACTCTAAGCTTACAATGAATGAATGAATGAATGAATATTCGAAGTACTCATGAGAAGGCTGGAGAATACCACCCCCAGGGCAGCTCTTCACCCTTGTTTTCCTGCCCTTCTGCAAGAAGAAGAGTCCATTGTCTCCACCGCCCCTGCTGGGTGGGAGTACAGAAGACTCATGGGTTGTTTGAATTTCACTCTGAGGTCAGCTTAATGACTTGTCTATTTGTTCTTACCCCACCTCATTCCGTGAAGGATTAGATGTGGATCGCAGTGCATTAGTGAAACACAAAGATGGATATAATTAGGTGAGGCAAAGGGCCAGTCAGGATAGATTGCCCAGAATTCAAAGTCACCTATGCCCAAGATGTCTGCTTGCCATTCAGTTTGCATGCAGCCTAAAGCAGAAGACACAAAACTGCCTGTGAAACTGGATATCGAAGAAGGATAGTGGGTCTGTGGCTGGTGCTGTGCTCAGTTACTGTGTCTCTCCAGACGGCTAGGTTAGCAGACCTAGCCTTATGATATACTGGTGCAATAAGTGTGGGGGGGGGGGAGGGTCAGAAGACAAAGAGGGTCTGGACGACTCACTTTGAGAATCTAATGCCAAGTGGCTATATTTTTTTATTGTGTTCCATTCTCCATGCTGGACCAGTTGATGACTGTCCCCCTTCACCTTCTTCCTATGGGAGCTCCGTCATCCTCTCTCGCTCACCAGATCAGTTGGAGACACTCTCACTGTTCGGTTTTGTTTGAGACTTTATGTGTCTGACCTAATCTCCTACTGAGATCCCCACTCAACTCCAGTTGACTCATCAGTTGTGAACATGGCAGACATCGAGAGCCCAGTTCATATTCTGGCCTTTTACATACAGACAGCCATTGTTCCAGGAGTGGAGTTACTCACCAGAGCCTGCTGAAGTGGCATATCTGGAAAGGTGGTTTTGGCAGTCAGCCATCAGGTGGCTGTGCCAGCTTTGTTCCCTGGACTCTGACTTACTTTAGCTGCCCCTCCCTACCAGGGATGCCACACCAAACAAGGATCTCACCCCTTAAAAAGCCAGTCATCTCTTTCCAGCAAGGAGAGCCCAGCTGTCGGAATACTCTGTAGCAACGGATTCAATTTCACAAAAACCTCAAGATGTTTAAAAACAGAAGTGCAGTGGGAGGGAAGGATTCCCACCATTAACAACAACACGGCTCCCAGGTACCTTAAGATCAATTTAAAATGAAAGAAAATGAAAACAGCCTAAAGCCCACCAAAGAGCAAACAGATAAGCCACATTCATCTCTAGGGAGGAATATAAAAACGATGTAAACTCAGCAAGGATATGAGCTACTGACTGTCAGTGTGCCACTACTGGATCCAAAAAGCATCACTGGTACAAGAAGCCAGTTGCCAAAGAGTTCATCTGTATGAGGCTCTAAAGCCTGCAGTGGCAGCTCCATACGTCAGAACAGCGGCTGTCTGGGCCCAGAGTATCCGGAGCAGAGGAGAGACCTCGCAGGGTGATGCAGACGATCTGTCCTGTTGTGGACTGTGGCCACACAGCTGTGTAGCTGCTCCCCAAACATTCCAGACTGCCCATGTGTGTTCTTGCAGATTTTACCTCTGAGAAGTTTTACATTCTTGAAAAAATTTAAAGAGTGAAGAAATCGTTGTCGATCCTAGAAGTTAGTCCTGATGCACCTGCTTTTAGGCTTAACACATCAGTTGTTCCCAGTTCTTGTATAAATATATCTGGAGCAAAAAGAGAAAAAAAGAGTCTTTCAATGTCACTTAAGTAAATTTGTAGAAGCCACAAACCCAGTCTAAAATGAATACAAGCTCACAGATTTCTCAAAGGGAAGGTGGTTGGCTGCACTTCAGCGCCTCCCCCATCGCTCCCGTTTTTCTCTGAAGCGTCTTCCACTCCTTTCTGGAAATTCCTAAAAAGACAACATATGGACTCACAAAATGGTCTGTAACTACCACTGTGATTTTGCTCATCTTTCCAGCCACCTCAGCCTGTCGTCCCTAGTGTCCAAGCCACGAAAGGGAGGAAGGGTGTGCCCCAAGGTGCCACTGTTCAGGGAGCGTCTTCAAAGACTTCTTTCTGCTGTCTGTTCCCAGAAGTGTGTCATTACAGGAAGGAAGGAAGGAAGGAAGGAAGGAAGGAAGGAAGGAAGGAAGGAAGGGAAGGAGGGAGGGAGGGAGCGAGGGAAGGAGACAGAGAGAGAGAGAGAGAGAGAGAGAGAGAGAGAGAGAGAGAGAGAGAGAGAGAGAGAATAATTCTCAGGTCCAGGCAGGGAGACTGCTGTCTG